AAAAAAAAGTTTAAGTTCTTAATACTGCTTTGAGGCTGGGCCTCCATTCAAAATTTAAATTTAAAAAAAAACATAATAAATAACCAACACCCCCTCTTTAAAAAAAAAGTTTAAGTTCTTAATACTGCTTTGAGGCTGGGCCTCCATTCAAAATTTAAATTAAAAAAAAAAACATAATAAATAACCAACACCCCCTCTTTCACACACACACACACACACACACACCCCTTTTTAAAGTGGTTATTATTCTTTGGTTGATTGAATGGCCTCTAGAACTTTTTCCCCTCAGAATAGCCCATTAAATTCCACAGAGTTGTTTTCAAATCCAGTTCTGTGTGTTGTCTCATTTGGGTGGGCTTAGTTTGGTTCCAGCGTTGCCCCTCACATGACTCCAGTCTCCATCTCCAGTGGGCACCCAGCCTCTCTTGCATCCCTACATTAATTCCCCATGTCCCTGCCAGATGGGCCACACCAGACCCTGACAGGACACCATCACTGCTGCACATGCACCTCTAGGGACCTCCTGACATCTGTAGGACAGAACCCCATCCCCACTGTCTCCCACCCCCCTGCTCCAGCTAGGAGGGTCTCCTCCAGTTCCCGAGGGCTGACAGCACTCAGAAGCAGTCCTACCACCACTCAGCTGCACAGCCCTGGGCGAATGTACAACCATAACAATCCCTTCCTCACCCACATGGGGAGTACCTCTTCTGGGATGTGCGTGTGTGATAAAGTTAAGCAAAAACTACCCATCAATGCTGTAAAGTTTGTTAGTTCATACCTCTAGCATGGTTCTTGGGTGAAAATATGGAAGTAGCACATAGAATAATGTAAAATGCCAGCCAAAGCCTAAATCCTGGAACATCTTTGAGTCTGACACTCTATCACATGGGAGGCCAGTGACCTGGAACATTACAACTTACGTCGCCAACCACAGCCAGCGCTGCTAATGCCACAAGGGAGCCCAGCATGGCAGCCAAAGTTCTGTGGACGATCTGGAAAGAAATATAGGAAATTACCACACTCCAGTCCACATGGGATTCAGCACACACAAGAGCCTGTGTTGACATGAGTTTCTGTCTATTTCTGCCATTGTATACCACATCTATTAAAATCATAAATTAATCATAGTTCTTGATGTCTTGGGGTCTGGGCACCCCACAGACACATACAACCACCACCAGTCTGCTTGCTGAAGAAAGCTGCTTTTATTTCCTGTCTAATAAATAACCCTGATAAAACAGTAAACTGTCATTAACTATTTATCACATACTCCCAAGCCAACTGGGCCATTAGTTTATCAACATAAACCAATTATGTTGTTTCCAATTATGAGACTGTTATGAAACCAAAGGTACACACCAAACAATCTGAGACTTCTTTAGTGTTATCACTGAATCATGAAAGTATTTAATTACACATAATTCAAACAGATGTAGAACTTCTAAGACAAAATATGAGGAAAGGCAAAGATGTGGAGAAACTGGAACCCTCACGCACTGCTGATGGGAATGCAAAATAGTGCAGCTGCTGTGGGAGACAGTGTGGCAGCTTCTTAAAAAGTTTAACATAAATGTTACCCAGCAATTCTTCTAGGAATCTACCCAAAGAAATGAAAACACGTGTCCACATAAGGCATGAATGTTCATAGCAACAATATTCAAAATAAGCATAAACCAGAACCATGTCAAATGTCCATCGGTAGTGACTGGATAAACAAAATGCAGTACACGCCACGACCCGGAACTGACACATGCTGTGTGATGTGTGAATCCAAAAGCATGGCATGTGAAGTGAACGAAGCCAGGCACAAAAGACTGAAAATTTTATCATTCTATTTACATGAACTCTCCAAAAGAGGTAAATTTAGAGAAAGAAAAAGATCAGGGTTGCTAAGGCTGGGGTAGCAACAAGGATGGACTGAAAACAGGTCCTAAGGATCTTTATGGGGTAATAGAATGTTCTAAAACTGGATTGTAGTGATGGGTGCAAAATTAGTTTTACTAAATTTAAAGAGATTAATTACTCACTTTCAAAGGGTGAAATTATGGTATGAAAATTATACCTCAATAAAGCTGTTAAAAAAATATAAAAAGAACTTGCTAAGACTTAGCAGAACTTGCCAAGACTTAAGCAAACATTATTTATTTCTTAATACTCTAAAGTGGTTTTCATTCAATTATTTTATGGCTTCTACAAAACAGAACCTGACTTCCTTTACTAGTAATTACAAGAAACTCAAATTCTGATTAAAATAATTCATTTGCTATTTGTGCTACTAGATTCAAAGTTAGTTTTCTGGTACTTTTACACCAGGTATTTGGCTTTTCACAGTTTAAGTTTTTAAGAGTTGGTGTATTTGTTTTAAATATAAATCTCTAAAATCCAATAAATATCTACCAAATTCTAATAATTCCTTCCATTTGTGTTCTGTTTAGTATCAGCCTACAACTGTTTTCACAACACTATTATGTGATGCTTAGGGTGGCCCTAGGCAGTAGGTAGGGCAGGAATTAATTCCCAACTTTACAGCTGTGGAAACTGAAGCCAAAGCTGGGCCACAAGAGTGAGCGAGCCTTTCTTGGCACTGGGGCTCCTTTCCCCACCCCACACAGAGTAAGGCAAAGGCAGCTCCAGCAATGATATGTTTTGGGGGGTTTTTCCTTTCAGTTAACACTTCATGGGTTGAATGTGTGGTGACAGCTTTGTAAACAGGACCGGGAGAAAAGAGGAGATAAAGACACTATAGACTGGAGACGGAATCTGCCCCATGCAGCCCTGCAGTCTCCACCTATGGCACATTCCTTTCTTCAGATTTAACCTTTTGGTCACCTTTGTCTGGAGGGAAAAGAGACTTTCAGTAGAGACTGCTAGTCACTGGTCAGCTGTTTTGGACAGTGGCAGAAATAACTAACTTTTATTGAGCTCCGACTATGTACCTGACATTGGATTAAATGCTTTACATATATCGACTCGTGTATTTTTCTCATGTATTTGTGAAGTAGAAACTATCACTGCTTCATTTAACAGAGCAAGAAACAGTCTCAGCAATGCTGGGCAAATTTCCCCATGCCACAAAGCAAAGGAGATACCAAGCTGGGGTACAGTCCCAGCATTTTCTTACTACAGGGCATCTCCTATCTCCTGGAGGGGCCTTACTTGCCCATGTAAAATCTGAAAATTGCATTACACACCTCAACGAGTCCTCGGATCTGGAGATCAACAGAGATCATGAAACCCAGTCCTAGCAGACTGACACATGAATGGGCAAATGCAAAGCAGGAAACCACAGCCACAGTGCTTAACCACGTCAACTCTCAGGAGAGCTGGTGGGTTGGTTGTGATCCAGCTGATACCCCGAGCACTACCACCAAGCTCATCTGAGCCCCTGCCACCATTAGTTCCTTTCTCTTTGTGGAGCTGACTCTCCCTCATCACATACCAGCTTGCAGGTGTCCCACACATGAACATCTCTGGTCCATGGTGAGTGTTTAGGACATACCCCTCACTCTGACAACCATCCCCTACCACCAGCTGAGGAGCCCCAAACATCATGTAAGAAGAGAAACGTTCTCTTCCCATTAAAAAAAAAATGGAAAAGAATACTGACGATCAGCTTCAGGTGCATGGCATAAAACTTTTTATACTAAATGGTTTTATACTTGTAAGAAGATGAATTCGTTGCTTTAGAAAGGATTATGGATATCCCTAAATTTCTATGCTGAAGAAAAAGAACTTTTCACATAAGGAATAAAAAAAACAATGTCTGGTAAAGGGGCCAAAAAATGGCAAAAATAATTTTTTTTTTTTTTTTTTTTTCCGTGTCCGGCAACGGATCGCAACCCTCAGTGTCGCCCCCGTACCGGACCGGGACCGGCAACGGGATCGCAACCCTCGGTGTTGCCCCCGTGCCTCGCTCAGCCAGTGAGCGGGAACCGGTCTGTATGTGGGATCCGAACCCTTGGCGGGAGCGCCACCACACTTCCCAAGCGGCGCACTAGCGCAGTGCGCCACTGGGCCGGCCCCAAAAATGGCAAAAATAATTTAAAAAAAAATTTTTTTTGGCAGCTTGCCATATGGGGATCCAAACCCATGACCTTGGTGTCATAAGACTGTGCTCTAACCAACTGAGCTAACTGACCAGCCCCCCAAAATAATAAAAATTCTTAAAAGGTACTTTGAAAGATCATACAGAGGTCTTCTTCCTACACATGTGCTGGAAAATACAGCATGCCTCTTCCTACATCCAAACCACTTCCTGGACACAGAATGCACCAACCAGCCTCCCAGGCTCAGCTTCACAAACATAGCCTCACAGACACGGCCTGGGAAACATGGCCACCATTGTACAATGCACACTTCTTGTGAGTTGAGCCTATACTCTGTGCTCTAGTGTTTCTTTGACAACAGTTGAGCTGTGAGCTCCTTGAGAGTGGCAACTGTGCCCTCTCTCTCTTGGTTTCTTCAGTGCTCTGGAGTGCAAACAATACATGTTGAACAGATGAGGAGCAGAAAACTAATGGACAGGGCCCCCAGGCAAAAGGCCGGCACCATTCCCATATGAAAAAGGGCAGAGCTCTGGGACAACTGTAGAGCTGGCTCTTTTTGAAATTAACATCTCCAATATCTTCATACAACATCCCTTTCATAGTCACGCAAGATTTCAGACATGGCCAGTCACCTCATAAACTCCAGATAGGAGGGCCTACTGAGAAGATGGAAAAAGATATTTCATGCAAATGGTAACTAAAAGAAAGCAGGGGTAGCTAAACTTATACCAGACAAAACAGACTTTAAGTAAAAAACTGCCCCTAGAGACAAACAGGATCATCATATAATGATAAAAAGATCAATTCAGCAGGAAGATATAACAATTATAAATATGTACACACCAAATATCAGAGCATCTAAATATATAAAGCAAATATGAACAGATCTAAAAAGAGGAATTGACAGCAGTGCAATAATAGTAGGGGACGTCAAAACCCCATTTACAATAATGAACAGAACATCCAGACAGAAAATCAATAAAGAAACAGCAGACTTCAACAACACTATAAACCAAGGGAACCTAACAGATACATAAAGAACTTTCCACCCCAAAGCAGAAGAAAACACATTCTTCTCAGAAAAGAGGAATTGACAGCAGTGCAATAATAGTAGGGGACGTCAAAACCCCATTTACAATAATCAACAGAACATCCAGACAGAAAATCAATAAAGAAACAGCAGACTTCAACAACACTATAAACCAAGGGAACCTACCAGATACATAAAGAACTTTCCACCCCAAAGCAGAAGAAAACACATTCTTCTCAAGTGTACTCAGAACATTCTCCAGGATATATCATATGTTAGTCACAAAACAAGTGCTACCAAA